TGCTTGAAGTCTTTGTCTTATCTGGGGCTTCATATGTTTATTTGGAGTCATTGTTGTGCCGTCTCTCTCTTTTACGATGATATTGCATTTACTTAACTCCGTTTGCGACACAGATGTTGACAATGACCGCTCTGATTAGATTATCATATCTTCCATTCATTAGACCACATATAGGCACATCACAGATCGCAGTAAACTTGGTCTCTTGGCGCAAAAAGCGACGGTTCGAGTACAGGAGCCTGGAGTGGCGAGACAGGTTTTTTAGAGGGTTTTTGTTTGGGTATGTGCTGGGCTCGACTGGGTTTGAGTGTGAGTTTGTTGCTTTTTTTTTCTTCTTCTTTCTTTGTTCTACCTTTTTCTACATATGATTTTTGTTTCTTTCCCCACCGCAAGTAAATAGTAAAACTAACATACACAAATGGTATTGTGTTTTTACGACTCGCAGGCACCCCAGCTTAACCTCTCACGTATCAAACCCGGTCGAGACTTCCACTCGTTCTAACGAAACCTACATTATCCCGCGATTATTTTAAACTGTAACATTCATGACGCTGGTTTTGGGGATTCTACCACTCGAAGAGATACTAGGTGGGAATAACGTGCTTGGCGTGTTGGGAGATCGAGCGGGGCGGGGAGGTGGTTGAGGAGATACGAGACTTGGAGGGGTGTTGGGTTAGCGAGTGGCCGCTTATCGAGGATGTATGAGGTGTCGTGGAGGAGAAAATGGAATTAGGAAACGTTAGAATGCTCGAATGAGTACTTGGATGTTTCGTCGAGCAGTCTGTTTCAATGGAAAGGTGGTATGTATACTGTAGCCTGATGAAGAAAAGTTCGGTCTACTTTGGGTGTGACGTTTTTGAACTCCAGTTCAATGGGTTCAGTGTCCGAAATGGAATGTGACACATGTTCATTACCAGTTCACTTTGCCTCAAAAAGTTATCGATGCGATAAAACTACTGACCAGCCTCCTTCTGCTTTTTTATACGCTTTCAGGGAACAACCTCGATTCTGTTAGAGTGAAAGACGTAAACTTGGCAGCTTGTGACTGTCGCGCATGACAGAGGTTTAAGTAGAAACGCCGCCACTGGATCAGAAAATTTGACGGCCGTGGAAGTCTAGTCTGCTGATAAGGTCGCATGTGTGATTTCAGCCTGAAGTGAAGTAGCCTGAAGTAGTACTGCTAAAGGAGGGTTTGGTCACGTGATTGCCATGAGCTGTTGACAGATGGTACTTACAGATACTGAGATAGTGTTGTACTTCACAATGAAATGGAATGACAGGCGCGTGTACTAACCGATATACTACCAGGGAGTTGTTATACAACCGTTGAACATAACTAGATACAAGATACGTGCCACAGTCTACAGACGCGTTTGTTACACCATCGTTTTTCATGTACGCAGAGTGAGGATTATAAGTACTTATTTAAATCTTGATCAATAGATAACAAAAACGATTTTTCTCGCAAGTACTACTTATATAGTTTGTGTGACTATGCTAAACATGAGGTAATAAAAAAAGAAAGAGCAAACGCGAGTTGTTTCAACGAGTGAGTGAGTAAGTGAGTGACGATATGTAAAAGAAAGAAAAAAGAATCATTAGTCCAAAAGACCATACATATGCATATAAAAAGTCTAGAAAAAAACCCCAATCCCAAAAAACAAACAAACAAACAACCTCCTCCCTCCTCCCTCCAAACTCTCTAACAATGCCTCCACATCTTAACCCAATCCACAACCATAGCCCTCCTATCCATCTCCTCCCCCTGCGGCCAAGTCTGATACCACTCATCCTTCTTATCCGCAAACTCCCTCATCGCAGTCTGCGAACCAGCACCGTTCAACCAAGGTTTATCCCCCTGTCCATCCGGGAACCATCCGTTAGTACCACCAACAGCAACGTTCATGATCAAATAAAAATCTTGATCAAACGGTGCGTTCCATTTCGGTCTACTCCCCCCCGGTAGAGTCCCTTTCCCATTAGAGTTACCAGTCCCTCCAGAAGCCACCGATCCATCCCCAGTCGTACCCAACCCATCAACAGCACCCCAAGGATCTTTAATCCCTTGTAACTGTCCCGTACTAGGATCTCTAAAAGCATTGTTACTCCCCTCTCCCCAAATACCAGCTTTCTTTCCCTTATTCCAAAACGGCGCATCGTCGAAACGATATTCCAACAACGTATGTAACCTAGTGTCCACATAGATCCTAACAAACTCTTCCGTCCATTCTAGAACATATTCATGAAAATCAGCTGCAAAAGATCGAGTCGAAGGTGATCCTCGAGTTCTAGACCACCAAGAATAAGAAAGTGACACGGCGTCGATGAACCATGAACCGGAGGAGGGTGAATATCCAGAAGAAGAGGAAGAAGGTCCCCAATGTAGGGAACCTTGAACGTAATTAGATCCATGAGCTGTGTAATGGATATCGTTCCCTCTGCTTTCTACCATATCAATTTCACCTGATGCAGGCCAACCACCGTACGTGTTATTAACGGGCAACAACCATAGAGCGGGCCATAACCAGTCTCCGGTTGGAAGTCTAGCTCGGATAGAGATCTTTCCAGAGGAGAGAGAGCCTCGTGGTCGTGAAGAAGAGTTTGATGAGGAAGAGGAGGAGTTGAGTTCGGAGAGAGCGTTGAGACGGGTGCTCACTCGAGCGCTTTGAACGGGGTTGATGATGGATCCGACGGTTTGGTTGGACGTTGCGGAACAAGAACGGTAGTAGGAAGAGTAGTCAAAGATTTCACGAGAGGGATCTTTGGGGTCGGGGATGAATCCGGAAGTGGTAGCGGTTTGGTTGAAGGTGCAGCCGGTGATGTTGTAGATGTACGGACCGTCTATGAGTATAAAAGAAAGAGATGCAATGAGTACGAGAAAACAAAAGGTAGAGGAAAGGAAAGAAGGGAATGAGAAGAGAAAAGCAGACACTCACTCTGCCCATAAACATTATCCCTCCCAATCTCCTCTTCAGTCAACGTCGGCATCAAAAACAAAAACCCATCCTGAACGAACGAATTCTTCTCACTCGTCGTCGTCATCTCAAACTGACCGTTCCCACCTCCACTCATGTCCACCTCTCTCCAAAACGTGCCTCCAACAGAATTGTCCGTGCCAAACACCGTTCCAGGGTCATCGAAACCCTCGTCCAAGACTAAACAGAGAGGAGCGTTGTCCATTCGATGAAACTTGACGTTTCGGTAAGTCAAGTAACATTGCATTCCACCGATACCTAAACCGAGTAAGACGAGAGCGTACACGAGGAATCGCGAGATGCGGTGTCGAGAGAAAGGATGGGTACGAGAGCGATCGGACAACCAAGGTTTGGCGACTTTGGGTTGTTTAGAAGGCGTTTTGGAAGAGAGCGGGAGGGAGATGGTTTTGACACTCGAGAGGGAGGGGGAAGAGGACGATTTGGGAGCGTCCAAGAGTTCGGGGAGGAGAGTGCTTTTCATGACAGGAACGGTAGTGAGTCGTTTGGACAAGTTGGATTGAGAGCCATCGTGAGGAGCGAAAGCAGAGGACACGGCGCTGTTGTTGTTGAAAGCAGCACCAGAAGTTGTACCTGATGTACCGGGCCGAGAGTGAGGCAGAGGGACGCTAGAGCCCATAGGTGTGCCCGTGGAATAAGGCGTACTCCATCCGCTGTAACTTCCACCACCGTGGTGCAAGTTCAAAGCAGACGCGGAAGGAACGCGGGAGTTGGTGACTGCAAACGCCGTCGCGTTTGCCAGAGTCGTTGTCACGTCCACAATATGCGAATGTGTATGGACATGACTCGAACTCACGGTCGCTGCTGCTGCTGTTGCTGCCGACGTCGAAGTTGTCGTAGTCGTGTAATGATGTTCTTCCTCTTCTTGGAAATGGACATGTTGTTCGTCCACTTCTTCGTGTTTGATACTCGGCGCAGGCGAGGCGAACGGGTCCGACATTGAGGGGGAGACAGAGAGAAAAAGAGTCCAAAGATCTAGTTGATCCTAGCTCGTGTATTTGTACGTCCCTCCGGAGTGCCTTTCCAAGTTTCTTCTTCCTCTCCGGCGTCACTCCAGCTGGGAAAACGCCAAGGCCCCGCCAAAGGAGCCGGAAAGGCACCCACCGTTGGGCAACGGCGGACACAGAAAGGACATCATGCGTCAGTTGAGAATTCTTGCTGTCTGTCAAATCATCCGAACTGACGGGAAGTCAAGGAACAGTCCACAGTCGTGTCGGAATCAAAAAAAGGCACGTCCCGCTTAGATAAAAAGGAAACGGAAGTAATTTAAATTTTAAGATTCCGATTGGACTGATCGAAAATCTAAAGATTCTGCTACTTACCCAGGAGGGTGTACGTCGGTTTTGTATTGGCAGGACCGAGGCAGCATTACAATACTTGAGTAATTTATTAACGGACACGGCCTCAATGTCATCACCAAAAAAGGGCTGGTTCTAACCTGTAAGGGAGGTTTCATTTGGCCACTACCCCTGGGCAATTTGTACGTTCTTAGCTACATTCCTCTTGCACCACTACTGTAAGAGCTCCTATCTTTGCAATATTATAGACCATTGCACGATCGATGGATACGAACTCCCCATAGAAATGGGTATACGTACCGTACTTTGCATTGGAACAGACTACTCGACGAAACATCCAAGTACTCATTCGAGCATTCTAACGTTTCCTAATTCCATTTTCTCCTCCGTGACGACACCTCATACATCTTCGATAAGCGGCCACTCGCTAACCCAACACTCCTCCAAGTCTCGTATCCTACACTCTTTTGACTAATGCGTAAAACGATGCGTAACTAGGTCGTAAAAAAAGTCATTACGGACATGTATATATTATTATTTACATCAAGCCTCGTGTAATCGTTCTTGCTAAGTATCTATTTAAGATTTACATAAGTACCTCACTCTGCGTAGTTAGATTCTTTGAAAAACGATGGTGTTACAAACGCGTCTGTAGATTGTGGCACGTACTTATATTGTATCTACTTATGTTCAACGGTCTCACAACAACTCCCTGGTAGTATATCGGTTAGTACACGCGCCTGTCATCTCGTGTATGAAAGTTGTAGACGCGCGAAAGCTGGGTTCGACTCCCAGCCAGGGAGTCACAAATGCGTCCGTTCTTTTTCCCTGTTGCACAAGGGAATTCTGGAAACTTGTGTTGTTGTTTAACTTTCATGGTGAATTGCACTGGGAACAATTTTGTGTAATTCCAAGGAATTACAGAAGAAATACAGAGGAATTATCATAGGAATTACAATGAAATTATTGTATTTCCATTGTAATCCCGAATTTTATGGTAATTCCTAACATAATTCTCTTGTAATGTTTCTGTAATTCCAAGGAATTACACAAATTTGCTCCCAGTGTTGTATATATGTAGTTACATGAGTTGTACTTGCAAACACCATACCTACTATCTATCTCTGTTTTTTTCTGATATTCAACTTACATGCAGGATATCCTTATAGGTTTTTTTAGATTTTCATGTAAAGAACGTGTTCCCTGGTAGTAAGTATATTGGTTAGTGTCGGAATCAAAAAAAAAAAAAGGTGCATCCCGTTTGGATAAGAAGGAAACGGAAGTAAATTTAAATTTTAAGATTCCGATTTGGACTGATCGAAAATCTGAACTTGATTCTGCTGTTCAGGAGTACGTCCGTTTTTGTACTCTCTAGCAACAGTGGCAAGACCAAGGGAAGCATTACAATACTTGTAGTACTTGCGAAAAAAATCGATTTGCATAAGTAGTTAGATTCTTGAAAAAAGATGGTGTACAAACGCGTCTGGTCTTAGACTGTGGTACGTAACGTATCTAGTTATGTTCAACGGTTTCACAAGAACTTCCTGGTAGTCTATCGGTTAGTACACGCGCCGTGAACGCGCGAAAGTTGGGTTCGATTCCCAGCCAGGGAGTTGGGTGTCTAAGTTTCAATCAGTTTTTTTTTCCCTACAAGTTCAAAACTGAGGGAAATCTTTGTATTTTTGGGAACTCTTTTCTGTAACGTAGCTACACAAGCTAAGTACTTATGTATGATATTAGTACTTGCGGATCCAGAAATCATATCTCTCCTTTTGATATTCACCTGACATACAGGATATTCATATAAGTTTTTAGATTTTCATGTAAGAACGTTGTTCCTTGGTAGTATATCGGTTAGTGTCGGAATCAAAAAAAGGGAAGTTGAACGGAAGTAAATTTGAATTTTAAGATTCCGATTTGGACTGATCGAAAATTTGAAGATTCTGCTGTTCAGGAGCACATACGTCCGTTTTTGTATTCTCTAAGCAACAGGTGGCAAGTCCGAGGGAGCATTAACAATTCTTGAGTAATTCCTTAGCAGACAACGGCCTCAATGTCATCACCAAAAAGGGCTGGTATTTCAATGATCTGTAAGGGAGGTTTCCTTTGGCCACCCCTGGCCCTTGGGCAATCTGTACGTTCTTAGCTATATTCCTTTTGCAACTCTTGCTGATTTGCTATCTATTTAAGATTTACAGAAGTACTTATAATCCTCACTCTGCGTACATAGTTAGATTCTTGAAAAATGATGGTGTTACAAACGCGTCTGTGGACTGTGGCACGTTACGTATATGGTGTCTACTTATGTTCAACGTTTGCACGACTCCCTGGTAGTATATTGGTTAGTACACGCGCCTGTCATCATTCTTTGGAATCTGACGCGCGAAAGCTGGGTTCGACTCCCAGCCAGGGAGTACCGCACTTGTATACGGTGTATTTTTCATTTTTCCTGTTGCAAAAAAGAAACTTAGGGAATTCTGGAAACTTGCATTGTTTTTCTTTCATGATGAATTGTATATATGTAGTTACATGAGTTGTACTTGCAAACATCATACCTACTATCTATCTCTGTTTTTTTTCTGGTATTCACCTTACATACCAGGATATTCATATAAGTTTTTAGATTTTCATGTCGGTGTTCGCTGGGGTAGTATATTGGTTAGTATCGGAATCAAAACAAGGCACATCCCGCTTAGATAGGAAGGAAACGGAAGTTGAACGGAAGTAAATTTAAATTTTAAGATTCCGATTGGACTGATCGAAAATCTGAACTTGATTCTGCTGTTCAGGAGTATGTGTTGCGTCCGTTTTTGAATTCTCTAAGCAACAGGTGGCAAGTCCGAGGGAGCATTAAATACTTGAGTAATTCCTTAGCAGACAACGGCCTCAATGTCATCACCAAAAAAGGGCTGGTTTTGATCTGTAAGGGGGAGGTTTCCTTTGGCCACCCCTGGCCCTTGGGCCCCAATTTGTACGTTTCTTAGCTATTAGCTATATCCCTCTTACAACTCTTGTTCGAAGAGAAACTGTGAACATGCATATGAAACGCGTGTCCCACAGCAATCGACATAAAACAACTGACTCGGAAGCCCAAGCTCGTAGTTACTAACACTACTGTAAATAGCGAACCCCTATCTTTGCAATATTAGATCATTGCGATCGATGGATACAAACTCCCTATAGAAATGGGTATACATACCACCTTTCAATTGAAACCCGCTCAACAAAGCATTCGAGCATTCTAACGTTTCCTCATTCCGTTTTCCTCCATGACACTCAATTACAATGAACATCCTCGATAACATTCCCCAACCCAACCATCCTCGTATCTGCGTAAAACGGTGCGTAACTAGGTCGTAAAAAAGTCATTACGGACATATACATATATATCATTATTTACATTAAGCCTCGTGT